CTCATCTCCACGTCAAACTCTGACAGCTTCTTGTCGGCCTCGGTGCTGGCGGTGCGGATGGCCTTGCACGGGGACACGTGCTGGGGGAAATCCAGGATGTTCCTACGGACTGAGGGGAAAAATGGGATTGGGGTGAGGGATCTGTGTGATAAAATCATTGGGGTGAGGGATCTGTGTGCTAAAATCATTGGGGAGAGGGATCTGTGTGCTAAAATCATTGGGGTGAGGGATCTGTGTGCTAAAATCATTGGGGTGAGGGATCTGTGTGCTAAAGGGGATTGGAGTGAGGGATCTGTTGCTAAAAGGGATTGGGGTGAGGGATCTGTTGCTAAAAGGGATTGGGGTGAGGAATCTGTGTCCTAAAAGGGATTGGGGTGAGGGATCCATGTCCTAAAAGGGATTGGGGTGGGGGATTCACATCTCAAAATCACTGGGATGAGGGATCCACATTCCAATGGAATAAAGGATCCATGTCCCAAAAAGGACTGGGATCAGGGATCCATGTCCCAAAATCATTGGGGTGAGGGATCCACATCCCGGAGAGCATTGGGGTGAGGGATCCACATTCCAAAAAGGACTGGGGTGAGGGATTCAGATCCCAAAAAGGACTGGGATGAGGAATCCATGTCCCAAACAAGACGAGGGTGAGGGATCCATGTCCCAAAGAACATTTGGGTGAGGGATCCATGTCCCAAAAAGGATTGGGATGAGGGATCCATGTCCCAAAATCATTGGGATGAGGGATCCACGTCCCAGTGCACACCCAGAGCCAGCCTGGCAGCCCCACAGTCCTCCCCACCACCCCCATGATCCTTTTTGTCCCTTCATCCTCTGTTCTCCCACCACGATCCTTTTCCCAAACCCACAGGAATTCCACGCCTGTGATCCCCCAATGCCTCAACCCCAACTGGGGCATCACAGGAATTTTGGGGTGSCCTCAATGCTCCTTCCAGCTCAGGGTATTCCACAATTCCACTTCATTCCTCATCTCCTTCAAACCCAAAATGGGATTTAAATCCTTTTCCAAAAAAAAAAACCCACACCCCACCAGGTGCACCCTGTCCCGATAAAATTCCACTCAGGCAGGGAAAACTGGGAGAACAAACATTCCCTGCAAAACCTCCAAGAACAGAACTCCAGGTGCTTTTGGGCACCTGGATCCTCCCTCTGGGAGGAGGGGAACTCAGCACAGCCAGGAAAGTGCTGACAGTTGTGCTGAAGTGAACATTCCTCCTGCTGAGCACGGGGTTTTTTTCCTGTTATTTTAGGAAAAAGAACAGGGAGAGAGGGAAGATGGGGCTGGTCCCTGTCCCAGACAGGTGTCATGAGGAGGAGGGGCTGCCTGAATTGTCACTGTGCTGTAAATCAGAMAAAAAAATACCAAAAAATGCCTCATTTTGGTGCCACGGCGCCATCACGTCATGTTACTGTCCCAAAAAATCAGGGCAGCATTTATTCTCCCCAAAAAAATCAGAGGATTTATTTATTCCCAAAAAATCAGAGTAGGATTTATTTTCCTAAAAAAAATCAGAACAGGATTTGCTCTCGCAAAAAAATCACAGAAGGATTTACTCTACAAAAAAAAATTGCAGCAGGATTTGCTCTCCCAAAAAGTCAGGGAATGATTTACTCTCCCAAAATATCGGAGAAGGATTTACTCTCCCAAAAAAATCAAAGAAGGACTTGCTCTCCCAAAAAATCAGAGAGGATTTGCTCTTCCAAAATATCGGAGAAGGATTTACTCTCACAAAAATATTGCAGAAGAATTTACTCTCCCAAAAATCCCAGCATGATTTACTGTCCCAAAAAAACACAGCAGAATTTACTCTCCCAAAATAATCACAGAGGGATTTACTCTCCCAAAAATCCCAGCAGGAAACAAGGCACATGGAGAGATGTTTATCCACTGCCCCAGGGAAAAAAATAGGAAGGAGGTGAGAGTTTCTTAGATCTTTTCTGCCATTTGTTCCCACTGGTGACACACAAAAGCCTTGGGAACCAAAGGGTTGTCCTTGGGTTAATTTGCTCTTCCAAATGAGTTCTTTGTACCAGTTCCTTGCTGTATAAACATTAACTGGGAAAAAAAAAAAATCAACACTCTGCTGCCAGCCARGGGGAGAGGAAAGGGATCCCAGAGGGAAGCAGGTGACAGCACGGAGCTAAAAAAAGCCACYAGAAAATTTTAATAATCACGGAATGGGCTGGAATGAGATCAAAGCTCAGCCACGGGCAGGGAGATCTTCCACTATCCCACGCTGCTCCAACATTTGACACTTCCAGGGGTGAGGCAGCCACAGCTCCTCTGYGCCAGGAAGGAGGAATTTTTTCCCCAACCCTCTGCCAGCAGAACCCCGTCCCTCTTTCCCCCATTCCCACCTGTGTATTCCACCTCCACGTCGGCCAAAGCCTTGAGGGTGTTCTCGTAGGACACCTCTCCTTTCTCCTGCGCTCCCACGCGATCGTACACGAGCTTGGTGCTCTCGGCCAGCTCGGCCGCCATGGCCTCGATCTGCTCGGCCGTCAGGTCCCAGCGCAGCTGGTTGGCCACAAGCCGCGGGGCCTGGCTGTCCACGACATTCCCTGCGGGGAAAAATGCGCCGGTGAGGCGGCGAGAGAGGGGAAAAACTCGGTGGGAGCACCCGAGGAGCAGCGCGGCGATGGAGGGAGACCGGGTGTTGGGAATTTGCGGGTGGATCCCCGGTAAATCCTTCAGGGAAACGCGAAACGGGGACGATGCCGTGCGCTGCCCCGCGGGGCGCAGAGGTGACCGGGGGGGCAGCGCGGATCGCGGCCGCTCTGAGGGGCAGCCCCGCTCCTCCATCGCTCTGCCCTCACGGCCTCTCCCCACCCCGCGCCCGCCCCTCGCCCTTTCCTCCATCTCCCCCCGCTCCCTGCGCGCCCCCATCCCGCCGGTACCTGTCGGGGGGGCCATGTCGGGGGTGCCGGKGGTACCGGGAGGCCCCGCTCTGCTGACGACGCCGTGAGGAGACCGGGCCGGCCCCACGCACCGAGCATGTGCCCCGACCGTAGAGGCGGGCGGGAGAGCGGGGCATGCTGGGAGCGTGGAGGACCGGGCCGCTCCCGCCTTGCCCGCACGGCTCCGGGACCGGGGGGAACCGGCGGTTCGTCCCCTCCGCGACCCTCAGAACCGGCCGAGCGCGGCCCCGGGGCGGGCGCGGGGCGGGAGCGGAGCATCCCCGGGGTTCCGCCCGCCCGTTCCCATGGCAACGCCCCCGCGCGTTGCCATGACACCGCCTCGTCTCTATGGTACGGGAGGGGCGGGGCTTCCGCTGTAAGCACCGCCCCTTCTCGTCCTATAAGGGAGGGGGCGGGGCCAGGGCGGCGCAGGCGCGCGGTGGGCGCGGCGCATGCGCAGTGCGGGAGCGCGCCCGGCCCAGGCGAGTGTCCGGTGAGCGCGGGGGAACCGGGGGAACCGGGACCGGGACCGGGACCGGAACGGGACCGGGCTGGGCTGGGCTTGGCTGGGCTGGGCGCGGCTCCTACCGGGACCCCTCCGCCTCCAGCCCGACCGCTGCCGGGCCGTGCCGCCCCTCAGGAGCCGCGGCTCCGGTCTGTGTGGGAGCAGCRCTACCGGGGCATACCGGCTGCACCGGGGCCTGAGGGGGCGGGACGGGACGGGACGGGACGTACCGAGAGCGAGTTATGCCTCACGCCGGGACTTGTCTGCCTCCGGTGCTGCTGGTGCCAGGCCCTGCTCCCCACCGGGAATCGCCTGTCTCGGTCCCGGTGAGGGCACCGGCGGTGGCGGCGGGACCCGGCTGTTCCCGGCCGGGGGTCCCCGGTTGYCTTTCCCGGGGGAACCTCCGGACGGTGCACCCGGGGCTTTGGGAAGCGGGGAGGATGCACTGGAGGAGTCTCTGTGTTCACCGGGGGGTCCGGCGGGGTCTGGGGGCTCTCGGTACCGGCGAACGGGAGCGCAGCGGGGCCCGGTGCTGTTCCGATGCCTCCTCTTTTGAACTCTGATTAAATCGGTCTCATTTCTCAATTCCGTGCCCCTGGATGTGCTACAAACCCAGATAACGTTCAGGGGGTGTGTGCGGAGCAGGATCCGCTTTCCCTCGGGAGCTGCGCTGGGAATTCCCAAAACCCCATTTCGGGGTCTCTGCTTTGGGATTTTCCTCCTTTTCCCTTCCAGGACAGCCTGGGAGGAGGAGGTTTGRCAGTTCTGAACCCCAGGGGCAAATTCCTTCTGCTCGTGGCTTTGCTTTTGGGACTGAGCTGTGCTTTGGGAGCAGAAAAGTGGGAATTGTTGGGAATTCCATGCCCTAAACAGCTGCAGCACCTCTGGGGATCTTCCCATGTGAATCCAGGCCTGGACAGTTCCTAGAGTCCTAATTCCTAATCAAAATTCATAATCAAAAGCAGAATTTGATGAAGATT